ATAAATGCATTTGAAAAGCTGGGAATCCTCACCTGGATATCTGAGGCGCTGTAGCATTGGTTCTTAGGCACATTGAGGTCCCCAGTCCAGGTATATTTTAGAGGGAGCCCCGACCCTCTACTCAGTTTGTAAGGAGGTAAATCTGCCCCCTCCCTTAACCATGAATAGAGGTTATCTTATAAGTTCTGATTATTAAAAATCCTATAATGTCAAAATAATTTTTTTTTCTCTATTTAGAGTACTATTTTTAATTATTATTACACATATGTATTGCTAGTACCAAAGAGTGTACAGCCCCTTTTTTTCAAACTTTAAAAAGCTGGGGTGGGAAAAGGGGTGGGGGATAGGTGGTGGGATGAACCCTTTCAATGTACCTTAGCGTAGGCGACCCTGTACAGTTTAAATGAAATTAAAAAAAATTTAAAAACTCTGATCATAAAAGAAAGAAAATTATAAATAGCTAATTATGAAGGGAACAAAATGTAATTCCAGTTGCAATGACGATGGAAATGTTACAGATATCACGCCAACATCAACTGATATTGTGGCAACATCTTTCTGGAGTTTACTTCCGGTGATAAATTTGTTCTTGTTCGTTGTCATAGAAACCGTATGATCGTTTGTACAGTCCTGTAAAACAAAGATAACAATTAGACAGTCCTATCGAAGTTGAATAAATGTTGCTTTAAACAACATTGTTTCAGAACGCGAATGTTCAAGTGTTTAATATAAGACACGTTATATTTAATGTGTAAGAAGGGATTCAAGTGAATGTTTTTCTAAATATTGTTTCATTTATTAATTCAGTACTCTTTAGCTCCCAGGTCGACCTAAATAGGTAGCAGGGGAAGTCCTTGGATGTAAAGGCGATCGGTATGATGCTGACCCCACCACACATCAAGTGCTGATTGATCTTAACAGTTCTAGGGCAGCTGTTAAATAAGTTTTGATTAGGCTTAAAGCGAACCAAAAACCTGGCAAACATGGGGTCAGAAAGTGATGAAAGAGACGGAAGCGCTTTTAAACCTTTGCTGTTCTGACCAGTAACATGCAGTTCTGATTTTCCCCTTTGCTTTCAAGAGTTTAGTGCAACATGGGTTAAGGTGTGTAGGCAGAGTTAGGTTTCCATCTGTTTTTCGAACACTTTGTGGATTGTCAGTGCATTATTATGTGTGGAGAACTTAGTCTTATGTTCAACGAAATAAACAGAGGGTGAATGTGATAATTATAATTCTGTTGTTTGATTCGGATTAGGACTTGTAATTAGTGTGCCAGGTTTACTGTTACTGATATCTATACTGTATTCAAAACATTTAATATCTGGGTAAGACACTATAGTCTTACCCCCCCCTCCCCCCCCCCCTTAGCGAACTGTTTCTCTTCTTTTTTCCCCCTTGTTACTGAGGCAGCGTATAGTTGGGGTTTGGCTCCTATTCGCCACGTGACATTATTTATCAGAGCTCTTGTGGGTTCATGAGTAAATTTCCATATTATTCTCTACATTATTATCTCCTCCCATTTCATTTAATACAGTTTCCCCACCCCTCCCCTTTTTAGTTTTGCTTCTAGTACAGGTCTATAAAATACAGGTCTATAACCAGGTGTTCAATATGCCCGAAGGTGTGCCAAAGGGTTCTATACCTTTACTTAAACAAAACAAGTACAACTAGATAGCATTTAAAGTCTCTTTTCAAAGGTACACAATTCTCGCATACATTCCAATTCTAGGCCGATGTATCAATGTTTTTGTTTCTGTAAATTTCTACAAACATAGAAAATATAGCTTCCATCTTTTTACTGACAAATCCAGATTTAGTAGACGGTTGCATTATACACAGCAGCCTGTACTGTATCTTTAATTTACGCAAATACCAGCCAGTATATTCAGAGTAAATATGACAGTAAAAGAATAAACAATTACGAAGTCGAACTTAACCTTCCACACCTGGATCTACACACCTGGTCATGGTGGCATAAAGGGTAACGAGCGAGCGGACCAGCTGGCAAGCCGTGCACGAACGCAAGTGAGAAGAAGCATGGACAACAGATATCATCAACGCTGTACGGACACGGCTAGTGGGTAATGACGAATCTCTGACACTAACATGATTGCATGACGTGGGAGTAAAACATGATAAAGCGCGTCTGTGCTGCACTCGAGGCGAGATAGGAGACATTATAACCTACGTCTTATGGAAACGATTATTGATGTACCTTGGAATGGTTGCTGGATTGGTTGCGAATGCCCACTGTGTAATGACACCGATTGTGATAACATAACAAATACAGAGCTCCTAAATATAATTTCAGTGTTAACATCTGCCAGCAAAAGTTTTAGAACCACTAAAGACATGGATCGAAATTTGAAACACATGTCAGAGGAGAATTGTAAAGATAAAATCAGCTAAATTCAAAAGGGGCAAAGAAGTAAGAAAAAAGTCTGGGCAACCACTGTTATCAACAGTAAAGAGGTTTGACGTGTGAGGTTTGAACAATGAATCAACATCATGGCATACGGGTAGCAACCTATATGTATTCCGTTCTTTTTTTAACTCAAGTCTGAGCCCGAAGAAGCTCAGCACAGTGCACAGGCTCTGTAGCACTGGCGAGGATCCTGAAATACTTTAGGTAGATTTTTTAACTCAAAATTGTGCCCGGGCAGCGCCGTTAGGCTATTCTTTTCGACTTCCAACTGCCAATGGATTTTTTACGTGCTCAACAATGCACACGGGTGTCCGATCTCACTACACAGAGATCAGGAGAAATTACCAGAAGTCCAAGTCCACGTGAAAAAATCCCAGCTCTTACCGGGGATTGAACCCGAAACCTCTAGCACTTGAGGTGGACACCATTCTTTGAGACCAAGCAGCTACCTTATCATCAGTCACAAGACAGTGCATTTCCGGCTATATTATACACATCGTGAGAAAGAAACATCAGAGAATCGCCAGCTACGCGTCAACATGGGAAATAAAGGGATTAAGGAGGCGAGGACATCCACAAAAAACCCTAAAACGAACGTTGATGAGCTTTGGCCTGTGGACTGGGTTTCATCTATGATATTAAACTGATTGCACGTGAGAGAAAGGAATACAGGAACAGACGGAGAGACCTGTGATCTAGTGACACAACAGCAAAATGAAATATAACAATGCAAAAAAAAAAAAAAAAAAAAAAAAATCGGGTGTAGATATCATCATCATTGTCGCGCGCCCACGTGGGTAAATACACTGATATAGTGAGGGTGTGGGTTTGAACCTTAACAATGCCCACCCACGTGAGAAACTGGACTATTATCTAAGCTATGTTGATCCTAGACAGTCCTGGATAGCCAAGAAAACAGCGAGTGGCTCGTTCCATGAAATGAAAGTTGCTGTACTTGTATCCACAGGAGAAGGAGAAGGGATAGATAGATATCTGGATACACCCACTGTGATATAATCCAGGTGCTCATTTAACCCCTGCGACTGGTCTCCTTTCCTGGCATTACTTAAAAGCCCCCATCAAGTGATTTAAATATTTGTTAGCTGAAGTAAACTAATATGCACAAAGACACTTGAACCTAAGTACACAATTTTACTCAAGTAATGTTGTTACGACATCAAAAAGATTTATTTTAATAAATCGAAATTAAAATGTTCACGCTTTCTGCAGGTCGTTACCTCGGGTCGGCAAATAAGGAGCCTATGTCCCCGCCCCAAAGTGGGGAATGGAGAAGAAGAAACAAGGCATATTTGTAGATCGTCAGTGTCACTAAGCATTTAATTAAATAACATCAAAGTTTTTTAAATAAAAAAATTTTATTTTCCCTCTGCTCAATTCACCCTTTTAATTTTAAGGGCAGCTCAATTCCCAAATGTTTAAATTTTTTGCCTTCCTTCACGTCCTGTAAAAAAGTCAACTTTTACGTAGGTCCACTCTGTACCCACTCAAAATGAATGTCCCCCAAAAAAAACCTTTGGAAACTATGCTTGGAACAATCCGCGCCCAGAATGCAACAAAATTTGGTGCGAATTTTAAATAACAAATCCGTGGATTACTCTCCGGGATCATCTCGCATTAGCCCCCGAGAGTTTAAAAACCTTTTTGTGTTCGATGAACAGATTCACATTTAACCCCAAAACCCAAAAAAATTTA